TTTAAACGCGTCAGGTAAAGTCAAGAGGCGTGTCTCATTGAATAGATAGTAACTTTTCTTAGTTCATATCATGTACATAGTCTAAATCAATGTAAATTTAACGATTTCTACCATACTTTCTAAACTAAAATACAAATTTTTCGTGTTGAGATCATTGAAGACTTAGAAAATTTCGGCCTGCGGTCACGTGGATTTGAGCGGAGTTACACATAAAAGGAAATAAGTGCAATTTTTATTTTATTTTTCTGAAATTTCGGCCCCCGGTTGAGAGTTCTGGGTGGACGAGTAACGACAGCTTATTATAGCGCAGTGGAAAAGAAACACGAAAGTCATCAGCACAACCGAAGCACCGATCAGCAAAAGATCACCTACAACACGCCTCTTGACTTTACCTGACGCGTTTAAAGACGATAGAGGGACGGGGGACGCGTTGGAAAGAGTTGAATGGGGTTATACTTACTTAGAAACGCGTCACTGACAGCGGTTTGGAGATGGGAAGGGAGGTGGATGGTGAGCAGGGGGTGGTCGGGTTCAAGGTAGGTTTGTGGGATGAACAAATCGAATAAGAAAATAATGAAAATAATGAAAATTTATTAGATCTTCGGCCGCCGGTCGAAGAGTTCTGGGTGGACGAGTAACCCGTGCTGCTATAATAGATTCGAAGACCGTCTTAAGCCGCCTCATTGAGGCCTCCTTTGTCTTCTCGTCGTCTTTCATGCTGATAATGCCTTGCACCGAGAACGTCTGGCTCGTTGGTGGGTTCATGTCCCAATCTCGGAATAAGACTAAAGCTCTGCTCCTTGGATCTAGGAGGCCTCGAAGTGGTTTTAGGATGTCATATGCTTCTTTCGATGGGCGAAGTAGGACCCAATCATATCCGGGTTTTTTGAAAGGGAGCAGGGCTCTTGCCGAATCGAGGGATACACCTGCGGAGTCAAGGGCTGACCTCACTGCATGTTTTATCCAGTCCTCGCGTGCTTCTTCAGGGTAGTCGAAGCCGACAACTCTTGCCAGTATTTTGTATCCTTTATTGATGATCGCCGCGGCAGTCGTGGGTAGCAGCGTGTTCGGTAAGTTTGCTTGCGCTTTGTCTAGTTCCCTTATTAACTCTTCCCTCATGTAGTCGAGATTGTTTCCACTATGATGGAGCATAGACGGATCGAGTCCTTCTTTTCGGATTGGTATCCATTGGATCCATTCTCTTTTCTTCTTGGTCTTTGAGGAAGGACCTTCTGGCTCTTCGGCGTTCGTTTCTTCATAGGGTGCTTTCGGTATAAAGAAAGCTCCGAAGTTTTCGTCGGCTGTTGCCTCGTCAGCTGCAAGGACGTCATCGAGAGGTATTAGCTCCGTTTGGTTTTTGTCGTCTTTGGGTTTTGTGTGAGGTACGTTTCCATCTTTCTTTCCTTCTTTCTCTGTTGACGTGGCGTTGGCTTCCTTTTCTGTAGGTGTGTTCTGTTCTTTGGCGGGGTTCGCTGTTGTCGCTTCTTCTCCATTCCCGTCAGAGGGCTCGGTCGTGTTGTTGTTCTTGCCTTTCTTCTTGGGGGTTCTTGGTGTTGGTTCTCCTTCGGCGGCTCCTTTCTCTGTTGGCTCCATATTCTTGTTTGTGGCCGTTGGCTGGGTGTCCACCTCCTTCGCATTGGGCTTCTTGTCTTTGTTTCCCGTCGTCTTTGGGGGGGGTGGGCTCTTCTCTGGAGGTGGGGGGTTCTAGGGAGGGGTTGTCTCCATCGTTATTGTTGTCTTTTGGGGTAGGTTTCGTTTTCCCTTTTGTGAAGATGTTCGTTGTTGACTTTTTTGCTTTTTGCTTTATCGGGTCTTTCGTTGTTGTCGTTGGTTGAGACAACGCGATTGGTGTGCTCAGGCGTATCGTCATATCTTCGTCTGTATTGAGGTTCTCGTTCATATCAGCCTCCGTATCTGTGGTAGGAGGACCGTCAATTTCGGAGTCCATTGTGTTCTCGTGTTCTTCGTGGTTTGGTATGGTGGGTTCTTCGGATTCCGTGCGGTGGTGTTCGCTGATTGATGACCTCCTGCTCACTGTCTTTTCCTTTATTACAGACGTCGCATATGCTGTGATCGGCTTGGATGCGTTGTTGTTCTTGTTCTTGTTTTTGTTTTCTAATTTGTTCTTTTGTTTGGTGGGGGCCATAGCTTTGGGGTGGCGTGTTCAGGAGTTTGTGTTTTCGGGTTGTTCTGCCTTTTGGTTGACGTTCCATATTCCTTTCTTATATACCATTTTCGTTTTTGTTTTTCCTCGTCGCGGGGGCGGCCACTGGTGGTTTGAATTTTCCGGTCTTGCGGCGGTTTTGTTTCTTTGTTTGTCATTTCGTTTTTAATTTGGTTTGTCATGACTCATTTCGCTTGATCTTTGGTCCGGTTAAGGTTGTTGTTATATGCTTGCGTGTGTCTTTAGGCTTGCGTGTACTCTTACATGTCTTATGCAGTTTTTTGGTCTCTTAGTTAGTTTGTATCTTTGGTAGTTTGGGGAGATTTCATCTATATTTTCATTGTGGGTTTGTACGATCTTTGTTTAAGCTGTGTGGCGCTCTAATGTAGTCTGCCTTGGCTTTCGATTTCGTTTGTGTGCTCCCCGTTTGGACTGGTGGCTCGACCACTACTGAAGCGTTCTCCTTTCGGCAGGACGCTCAGTCTCGAAACTAAGGGGGGAGGCCGGGTGGGTTTGGTCCTGACATGGTCGGGTCCAAGGTAGGTTTGTGGGATGAACAAATCGAATAA